ATTTCCTCTCGCACCTTGTCGGACACTGGGTAGTACTTCTGCTTGATGGGTCAAGTACTTCTAACATCTATTTCGTGCTCAACCCCCACGGCACAGCCTAAAACCTCTTCTCCGTCAGGGATCAATCTACTGACGAGATTTTCAATCTCTTCAAGCTAAATTTCTGTGGTCTCCCACAGTCGTACCGGTGCGAGAAATGCTGTACCATCAATTCCCGCCACTTCTATAGGTACTTTTACCTGGGCGTCCTTCATCCATAATTTGTCTTCATCGGGATCCAAAACCGCGCGGAACTTTCTTATAAAGTTCACGCCTACATAGCAGTCATCCGAGAACATTGGCGTTATGGCGACTCTTATATTTCTGGTGGATCCCCCTACCTTAAAGTGGAACATCACGTGACCAATGATGGAACATGGGCGTCCGTTGGCGAGCATTGCATCGCTAACCCTGGTCCCATCTAAGTCCCATCTCCGATCCAATCTAAGCCCTATCTGACCCATTACCATAGACGAGGTTCCGGTATCATAGAGTGCTCTAATCTTAAAGTCATCTATGTCTACCCGCAACCACCATCTGGTCTCATCTTAAAGGTCATATCCGCGAGTCGCGTTTTCTCCTCCATTTGTCGTTCTTCTCAGCGGTTTTTGCCCTTCAACTACTGCAATGACGATGGGCTTCCTCCTACTCATGGACTCCTTAGACGGGAAACTTTGTGTGGAGGGGTCCGAACCTTTCAAGTCTACGGGCTGCTCAATGCTCTTAACTATTGAATCGTCTCCCTCCTCAACAACTTGAATACGGCAGCCTGGTCCTTCCAAGATAACCTACTCCCTGCTCTACCTGAGGCTGGCATCGGGCTCGATCGCCTTCTGCTCCATTGTACTGCTAGGTCCCGGGCCATCTTACTGCCTTCTTAGGACCTGTTTGGATCCCTGGATCATCGACAACTTGCTCTTTCTCGTCGACGATCCACTACGAGAGGTCATATTTACTGGAGACACGAAGATGACCTCTTCTCTTCGCTCTCCTTGCCCTTTTCCTTGTTGCAATCTGGGTAGAACTTACGGCTAAATCCCAACTTGTCACAAGCGGAACACTGAAGAGGTTTCGTGAAGTCGATTTTACACCTCTGTCCCTCTCATCGCACGCCAGGAGAGCTGGGAGAAGGTGAATTCCTCTTTCTCCCACGACATCGACTTTTGCGCTGCTCTGGAGGGCTGTCTTGCCTTTCTGTAGCCATTTTGCGCAGGAGTCTCTCTAGTCCCTCTAGTCGCTCCTTCATTTTCTTATCAGAACTAGAGGTTTGCGCAGCCGATACCGTTGCTTGTTCAGTAGGCCTCCCGGCAGGGTTCTCCACTACCTGTCCGCGCTACAGATCTCCCTTCTTCTTTACACGCCTCTTCCCATCGCTCGCTGCTGCAGCGGTTTAGGTTTTATTACCAGCTGTTAGTTTCCTCTGTTGGTATGCGTATTGACGGAAGATCGTCGAGTTTGGGTCCGTGAATACGCGTGGGCGTCGACCATAAGATAAAATGTTTTGTACTTCTGTCGCTCTCCTATTAAATTCGCGTATTGACGTTAACTTACTTCGACGCAGCTATATCTGGATGTTTGGCAGGAGTTTCGTATGCAGCAGGTATAATAACCTTGTTAAGGGCATTGGTGGTTCCAACCGGTTGGAAAAAAAAGAAAAAAAAAAAAAAAAACGAAAGCTAAAGCTATCAGGTTGGACACGTAGTCTCTCACCAACTGACATTCGCCCTGGAACCGGTTCTACGCTTCTTGCAACAGCCTTTGTTGCTGTTGCATACTTGTGCCGAACTATTCTCGGGCGTTGACGATGAATTCGGGGTAACTAAGCCATTGGTGCTTATTATTATCGTACCAGATTTTCGCGTTACCTTCGAGGTCTCTGATACGGAATAAAGCACCTGATGATCGGTTAGTCCTTCGGCCACGCGCAGGTCCTCTAACCTGGACAGAAGCGTATCCACGTTTTGTGCCCTGCTGCCCGCAAACCTTAACTTCCACCCACGGACAATTTTCCCCACATCTCGGGTTATGGAGAGCCCTCAGGATGTGTGTGGAATGGTGTCAGACGATTCACTTCGACTTCTTTGTCGTACCGATGCGGATCTCCCGTAATCTTCCTGATCCTCTTCACCTCCTCTTCTTTAGAGTGCTTTCGGTATGGTCACGTCCCTTCTCCTAGGGATGGGTCTCGGTACAGCCACTGTGCTTTCTGGAATTTCTGAGGTGTATGTGTCCTGTAAGCCCACATTGCGCCTGGAGCACGGATTAATCGAGTCACGCTGAGACGTATAAACAGCATCGGCCATCTTACGCATTCCGTCCTCTCCAGCTCTCGTATTCTTCGGAGTATGTCTTTCGCTTTCCGCTCCGGACACACCTGTATACCCTGGAGAGTATGGAGCGTTTTCAAGATACGGTCGATCAGTTTGCGGTTGAGGTCGACTCCCTCCTTCAGGTACTCTATCTCCCGGAAGGCGTCACCCAAGGATAGTTCTCCTTGGTGGTCCTTCCGAGCTCAAGACTTCTGTGACCTCAAATTCGGTTTGCGCCGTCTTTCTTCCCCCTCCTCCTATTCTTGGATCTGGAGGATTCTCTGTTCGACGTCATCTTCTTCCTGGCGGCTAGCTTCAACCTCTGAATCGTAATCCAGGTAGATGAATGTCCTTGACAAACTTGCCAAGGTTATTCCCTCCCTATTTATGAATCTCAGTGGGTTGGGTGATCGCTGTGCTCCTCGTTGCTGAGGTTTTCCAACTCGTCGCAGAGTGTATTAAGCCACGTTTGGCGGGTGCGCTTCCTGCGTACCGCCATCTGCTTTTGAAGCGTGGTCTCTTCAAAATTTGCGACATTGTACTCACCCAGCAACCATCTACCTAACCTAGCCGTCTGCTGGATGACACTGCCGTCCTTGCGCAACTCTAAATCCGCCAGGTAGCGTTCGCGCTATGCGGAAGTCAGCTCTAATGCCCATGTGTCGATCTGGGCTGACAATAGAGCCATCTTGACTCCGCACGGGTGTAGAATGCGGTTGAGGTGTGAAATTTCGGCGTACTCGACCACTACCGCTTCGTATCATCCAAGGTATGAGCGGGCTATTACACTAATTAGTATTGCTACCCTTACTGCCTTCTTTTTCAAGGCGCGAATTCGCGAGATTATTGAGCGCGTGCAGTCCCCGCAAACTATCTAATAATAACAATCGATATATCCTACTATAGGTCGGAGCCCGCTGTTTGCTTGCTCCGCCAGGGTATTATTCTTTTGACTACACGTTTGTTTCGCGCTCTCTGCACTTATCGTCGCCCAGGTGCTTCCGGCCTCCTTTTAACCACTAAACTATGGCTCGAACAGGCTATCACCTGTTATATTCTACAATTTGGAATCGCTTCAACCTATTGGTTAGTATCGCTCTCAGCCCTAACGTACAATAGATATAACAATTAATATATATGATGCAGTGACTCCCTTTTCCCCTTACAGAGTGTGCACTGCTCAAAATCTCGTGTTGACACCCGCTCAATCCTTCCTAAGCGCTCCCGCAGTCGTCTCTCTCTCCCGTGTGTCAATTACCTTCGACGCACAATCCTATACGCTAACAACAAGTCTTAATATCGATTGGGCGCCATGTAACGGGGTAGATTAACTGGTGCAATGAGGGTTTGTCTAAGAACAATCTCCCACGATGCAGAGCTAACCGCCGCTCCGTTAATCACGTATGAGCATACGGGTATTCGCCTTTACTATTGATACTTTCGCTCCAATGTCTCCTTTCCAGTAGAGATGAACTCATCTTTAGTCACCTGACTTGCGACACTTCTTTTATCTTAGGTGTCCATAGACTAATGTTTATTTCCACTATTTCCTAGACAAAATCGGTTTGAAAGATTTCAGGAAACGGATTCGTTAAATTAAAGGGAAACGAAAGAACGTAATACTGGGAATAAAAAACAAATCTTTTATAGGATTAAAAGTTACAGTCTTTTGTGGGCCGAAAGACTTACGCACGCGTATAACATTAACACTTATCCTGGGAGAGAGAGAAAGAGAATACAAAATTCTATCGCGAACTCCAACACTCAACGCAAATATGAAAAAAGCAACGGTCACGTATAAAAATACCCTTGGAAATATTTCGTCGCGCGGAAAAAAAGGTGCACCTACCCTGTGGTTCAATTACGGTGTCGTAATTGTAATCGGCAAACAACTTTTGCTCCCGGGAGATGCTGCGGTGACGCTGTCTTGGCTACCGTATCGGTTTTTGCTCGTCCAACTCCTCGCTGCTCTTGGCTCAGTTGTGCTTTTCCTCGCTCCTAAATCTCACATCACTCACGTACCAAAACAAAACCCAAATCTTTAACTCGGCGAACGGCAAAGAAACACACTGGAATAAATTGACGGTTATCTAGTAAACAGCTGAGGCTATACTAAAACTTAAACTCGTACGCGCCTCTTCTCTCTCCTAATCGTTCGGTCTAGCACTTCGAATAGCGAACGTATCGATTTTTCTAATCGACTACCGTTGAAATAATGAAATGGAAGGCAGAAAAGTAGCCCTTCTAGATGGTTTTTTTAAATGGTTTTATCAAGTGATCAAATAAAGCAAAAACCCATATTTTTCACACTTTTATATTAGATTTACTTAAAAATCTGACGTGGCGGATCCATTCTCAGCTTTAAATCAATTTCTACGCTAAAAATGACTGTCTATATAACTATAAATAATTTCATAACAATTACCTTATATTTTGCAGACCTGTGTAACCGATTCTTATTATGTAATTGAGTTGTTAAATACAAAAACCTTGAGATAAAATATAAAAATGAGAAACTATTTTATTTCTTATTTAAATGAGTTCCTCTTATTTTAATATTTTATATTTCTATATTACAGGTGCAAATACCTGAATTATTCAATAATATATAATTATACGGTTTTACGATACTTAATTATTCTTATTTTGCAGGTTATTGTATGTCAAAATATTGCTCGTCGTAAAAGTTATGTACAGGCAGCATTAACACATGAAATGATACATATGTTTGATTACTGCCGAAATGAATTTAATTTTCGAAATATCCGTCATTTAGCTTGTTCCGAAATTCGAGCAGCAAATTTAGCTCATTGCAGTTTTTTTAGTGCTTTAAGATTTGGAACTGCATCGCTGACACGTTTCAAGGCAACGCATCAGGTAAATTAGATATGTGTATAACACTAATTTTATACGAAACCTTGTCATTGGGTTGTATTACAAACAGAATAGTGATTTCCATCGATATTATATTATTAAAAACAGTTGCTTGACCATTCCACGGAGAAATATTTTTATTTATCTATTCCAGATAAGTATTCCCCTCCCTTACCTCTATTTTAAACATAAATTTTTTAATTCCTGATTCCTGTTGTATGCCTTCATTAGATTACCCTCTTGTAGAGGGTCTTCCTCTTTTCCTCTTTATATCAACCTTGTTTCCCATTCTTCTTTCTTTCTTTCTATCCTTTTTATCTTTTCTGTATTTTTTCTCCTTCCACCTAACTTCTTTTTCGCTGCTTCTTTTTTTTTTTTTTTCTCTTCTCGTTTCTTTCTTCAAACCACTTTCCTTTCGCGCACTTTCAATTCTTACACTTCCTTCCTATATTATTTTTCCTTTGCTGTTGTTTTTTTTACTTCTATACTTCACTTATTTTCTTATGAATTTTGCTTATTTTATGTGCTGCGTTACGCTGCACTCCTCGTTCCAGTGTCCAACTGGAAGTTCGGAGAAATATTTATATAACAGAAATAATTTATGTAACATATATATATTATATAAATTTCTTTTCAGACTGTGTCTATACCCAAGCAGAATATACGAGGTCTGTCTGGAAAGTATCGGGCCTATGTTTATATCTTCGCGCCATAGTGTTCGAACGACCTCTACCGGACAGAAACGTCAACAGTAAAGCCTCACGAATCTATTGGTTACTTACTGACACCTTCCGGACGTATAGTTCATGCGCAGCGTGTCTTTGTTTACAGTGCCTTTTTCGCGTTCGTCGAATTTTGATATTGTCAAAAATGACTGAAAAACAAGATCAACAAATTTGCATCAAATTTTGCTTTCAACTCGGAAACACGAGTTCGGAAACTATTGGAATGATGCAAAAAGCCTTCGGAAGCTACTGTATGAGCAAAACACGAATAAAAGAGTGGTATAAACGGTTCAAGGATGGTCGCACTTCTGTCGATAGTGATTCTCGTTCCGGCCGACCTTCGACGACAAAAACCGCAGATAATATTGAGCGGGTGCGACTTGCAATCGAACAAGATCGTCGTATGACTGCGAGAACTAGAAGAAGACCTTGGGATACCAAAAACTATCATTTCAGAAATTTTAACCGAAAATTTAGGAATGAAACGCGTGTGTGCGAAATTCATCCCAAAATTGCTCACAGCAGAGCAGAAGAACATTCGCTTAGAAATCGCTTTGGGCAATCTGGAAATGATCAATAATGATGATAATGTGCTTAGAAAAGTTATTACAGGTGATGAATCATGGGTTTATGGTTATGATTCTTAAACAAAACAACAATCTTCACAGTGGAAGCATTCTGAATCGCCAAGTCAAAAAAAAGCATGTCAAAGTCGGAGCAATGTTAAGTCAATGTTGATTGTTTTTTTCGATTGTGAAGGTCTTGTACATCATGAATATGCACCAACAGGTCAGACAATCAATAAAAAATACTACGTTCAAATTTTGAAACGTTTGCGTTATGCAGTAAGAAGAAAACGGTCGCACTTTTGGGAAAGTGGGTACTGGCTTCTCCATCGCGATAATGCGCCAGCGCATTCATCCAATCTTGTGCAGCAGTTTTTGAGCAAATACAATATCACATTGCTTCGACAACCTCCATATAGTCCCGACACAGTCCCTTGTAACTTTTGGCTGTTTCCAAAACTAAAAAAACCACTCAAAGGACACCGATTCGATGACAAAACAACGGTTGAAAACAATGCGACGAGTTACTTAAGGCTATCCCTAAAAGTGTGTTCCAGGACTGTTTTGAAAAGTGGAAACATCGATGGAACCGTGTTATTCAATCAAGTGGGGATTACTTTGAAGGATGCCACCCACCAGATGATAAAGAATAACGCTTGCACGAAAATATAAAAGTAGGCCCGATACTTTCCGGACAGACCCCGTATAATCTCATTTTAATATACAGCATCTATACGACAATATCCAAAAACAAATCTAGTGATTTATTATTGATTTAAATGGATTAATAACGAATAATACTTATAAGATGAAAATTACGTAATTGTAATAAACCCCCGAATCCTATACGCGAAGTACAGTACAATAATAATAGACTTAATGTTATCTAAGATAACCCGATGAGCATAACTGAAATAGCAGAACTCAATATACAATATTTTCTGAAAATCAATAAATAAACGTTTTTGGTACGCTGAGGTGAAACAGCTCTATCAAGATTGTTTTGTCATCTTTGTTTAGTAAGTTCGAAATATAAGTACTGAATGATAACATATGTATTTGTACGTTTGTTATTGTATAGTATCTAGAAGTAATAGCTATGTCAAGGTCGATTTTTTAAAATTGGTAATTCTATAAAAACATTTCTCTGTGCACTTGTTCAAAAAAACTGATTTTATAAGTGAACTCTAGGTAAATGTATTGGAAAATTCTCATTTTGAGTAGCATCTTACAACGAGATTTAGTTATTTAATTTTTTTACACTTCCACGTATATATTCTAATTAGCATAGAAGTTATTCGTTATTGTTATTACATTTTGCTATTCAAGAAATGTTCTATCTTTGAAATGATGGCTGATGATGAAGCTTGGACAAATGGCGAATCTGAGCCAGAGGAAAGAAACCCTGAGGATAAAGAAACATATGGTATTGATTTAGAAGATTTAGAAGATGTGAAGTATGTCGAAGATGAAATTTATGAAGACTCGTGGTTTTTTCCATCAATAAAAGATTTCAACGTTACCTTTAAAATCAATCAATACATCACTGTAGCAAGTAATACACTTATAGAATTCTTCAATTATTTTTTCAACTCCTTACTGATTTAAATGATTATTGAAAAAGCTAATCGTTATCATTTTCAAAATCCTGGAATTCAAAGTAACCATGTGAAGCCTTGGGACTCCGCTTCCAAAAGAAGACTTCAAAATTTTTTCTGGCCTTTCAATTCTCATGGGATACGTTCGAAAAAGATGAATTGCATAATTATTGGTCAACTGATAAATTAGTACAAACTCCGATTTCTCATCAGGTGATATCTCACGACAGATACTTGCAGATTTTGTGTTACATTCATTTTCACAACAATGAAAGTACGTCATCGAATATTACAGGACATACTTTCGCGAAAATCAAGCCAGTAATAGATTTTCTTCAATCTAAATTTTCAGCAGCTCTCACTCCAGAGAAAAAAGTCTTATTGATGAAAGTCTATTACTTTGAAAAGGGCGATTTAGATTCAAACAGTATATGCCTTTGAAGGGAAATCGGTTTGGCATCAAGCTGTTTGAGCTAGTTGACTGTGAAGTTATTTTAAACTTTATTGTGTATACAGGAACAGACACTGACTATAGAAAGTTCGGATTAGGTGTTACTGGAGATATCGTCATTCACTTCTTAGAACCGTGCCATCATCAGGGTCGCGTTGTATATGTTGACAATTGGTACACATCTCCTGCCTTGGCAAAATTCTTGCATGACCGAGATACTAGTCTGTGTGGGACAGTTATAGCAAATAGAAAGGGAATGCTGAAACTGGAAAATAAGTTATCACGAGGACAAATACAAGTTGCTCACACTGACGTCTGGATGGCAATAAAATGGGAGGACAAAAGAAGTGTGCGTATATTGTCAACTGTGCAAGAGGTTGATTTTCCTCCAACTGGCAAGAAACGTCGTGGCACAGATGAGGATATCATGAAACCAACGTGTATCCACGACTATAACCAAAATATGGGAGGTGTAGACATTGTAGACAGACAACTATCTATCACTGATGATTGATCACGGCTTTGTTGAAGTATGTTTCTGAGAGCATCCCTCGAAACGTTAGGCACCCTAATCGATTAATTTGATGTCATTTCCCAAAGGACAGTACACGACAAAGATGCCACTTATGCAGTTTGCGAAAGATATCGCGAAGAACCTCGTATATTTGTTCCACGTGTGATATTTCTCTGTGTGTAAATCCTTGCTTTGAATAGTACCACACACAACACACACTAATATAATGTCTAATAGTGTGACGAGAGAGGCAAGGAGATTCACAATAAACAAGCACCCTAAGTGAGAGGTAAGGAGACTCACAATAAACAAGCGCCCCAAGAAAGAGGCAAGGGGACTCACAATAAACGAGCACCCCAAAATAATCATATTTTCGCAACATCCACGTCGTTGATTCTGGGTAACGCTAACAATGAAAGCCTTTTGTAGAACTATAAAATTCCAAGGTGTATGGAGCTAGTAAAGGAACTTACATCCACTCTCAATAACTAAGGGGCTGTGAAGTCCCATTGGGCGGTAGAATGTGTTCAACAGCTTTATTTTTTTATTTCCTGTACGAACATTTCTCACTGAAATACCGCCTGTTGAAAATCAGCCAATAATTTGACAAATTTTTTTGTTCCCCTAATTTTTGCGAGGAGTATACGAGTATAAGTAGTGTATAAGCTATGTATTGGTCGATTATGTTTGTTCCGACTTCAGTTAATTAATTAACGAAATTTTAAACTAATCTTGGCTACGAATGAACAAAACATATTTGAATGCTTTAGAAAAGGACTAAAACCTGAAATTCGGCTAAATTTACCTAGTGATACCACCGTCTTAAATGCACTAAAGAACGCTATAAAAGTCGAAAAAGCCTTAGAGTTACAACCAACGTTGCGAGCACGAGCTTCTAATAATTCTCGTTCTTTAAGATCGATAACCCTCTGTCAAAACTGTAATAAAGAAGGACACAATACCTTGAGTATAACTAGAGAAAGTAACAATAAGCGATGTAATTTCTGTAAAAAGGTCGGCCACGAAGAAAATTCATGCTTCTCCAAGTTACGGAATAATACTACAACATGTCAAATTTGCAATAGGAAAGGACACGTTGCTCGTGATTGTCGAACACATCTTAAATGCCATATATGTAATGGAAACGGT